AGGAGGAGGAGGAGGAGGAGGAGGAGGAGGAGGAGGAGGAGGAGGAGGAGGAGGGGAGGGAAGAAGACTTAAAGATTTCAGTGTTGGCTGAGGGAAATTCTAGCCAGGCTCCTACCTAAGTCATAGAAGATGAGTTCCATAGCATCACCCTTATTTCCTTTTCCAGGTTTTAAACATTGTCATATTTAACCCTCACCGTACGAGTGCATGTACTGGGCATCATTATTATTTGCTATCCGTCTTACAGATGAAAAAATGAAACCCTAACAAAGAAACTGATAATCCCAAACCAAACCAAACCAAACAAAAAAAGCCAAAAAAGAAAAAAATCAACCAACCAACCAACAAACAAAAAACCAAAACCCAAACCCAAACCTTGACCAACCAAGCAAATTATTACCCAGCTTAGAAGTACACAGATAAAATTTAAGCTTGGTTCATTTGCATTTAAAAAAGCTTGAATATTTTACCCTATGCTTGACCTGTAATAAAACCAGAGTTCTTGGGTTTGAGTCTTATAGAAATAGCGTTTATCATATTAGCTTATTCACTTCATAGGCTTGACACAGCTGAGTAGGTGATGCCTATCCTGGTTTTCAGTGCAAATTAATGTAACAGTGTTCTTGTTCCACAAACATGACCTAAACGCATGAAATTTTCATATATCTGCCTTCAGGATAAGCCAAGCAGAATGCAAACATAAGACATTATTTTTTTTAAGATTAACTTTTATTTGTGTGTGTGTGAGTGTGTGTGTGTGTGTGTGTGTGTGTGTGTGTAAGTGTGTCAATAAAGGATAGAGGTAATAAGAAGGTCATGGATACACTGGTTCTGGATTTAGAGATAGTTATTGGAAGTCCAGGTAGATGGTGGAGTCACAGTCATGCCTACTAAGAAAGGAGCAAATTCTTGTAACCACTGCACCATCACTCCATGCCTTGCATGCTTCCTTATAATATCGATAATGGTGCTGATGTTGTAGTCATTAGGGAACATGAAAATCTGTCAGTAAGTCATCTCTCATCTTTGCAGATGGTCTGGGCCTCTTCCTACCTCATTGGCTGTGATGTTGCATCATGTCGCAGACAAAAGGCAGCTACATATCTCTATGTGTGTCACTATTGTCATGAGTATGTAATGCCAATTTATTATTCTTTCTAAATATATTATCTTCCCACAATAACCTTGTCTAATGTTTCAAATATTATAAATGAATATTCTGGGATTTTTCCCAGTTAGTTTGATAGCAATTTGTCACAAATATACACCAAATATTTAATTTTTCAGCATGTTTTCACTAAGCAAGTTGGAGATAATACACATTTAGGCAATTTATTGGTGATTCTAGTCTTTCACTGGAAAGTGGTATCCTACAAGGATGTTAATTTGACCTTAGGCTAAAAGGATATTCAGGCAAATGCTACTCCCTGTGCTAGGTGTTGGGAATCACAATGTTGACTTGTGCATTTCCTTTAGAAATGAAATTTATGTCACTTTGGGGAGATGGATCTGCAATTTAAAGAGCCTGTTGCTGTTGCAAAGGACAAGAATTAATCCCAGCTCCCAAATACTAGTCTCAGGACTGCCCATAATCCCAGCTTCAGGGAATTCTATCCCCTCCACTGACACCTATACACACACACATGCACACACACACGCATATATATATATATATATGTATATATATATATATACATATATATATGTAATATTATTTTATTTTAATGGGGAATAATTTTAAAGGCAATATGCATATATATATATATTACATGCATACAAACATATGCATACACACAATACAAACACAAACTAAAATAAAAACCTTTTAAATAAATTAAATGTACATATTCTAAATGCTACCATCACAGGTGCTAGTCACAAAATCTAGAACATATTATCTAATTGCTTCAGGGAGAGCAGATGTAAACTACTTCCTTGTACTAACAAATCCATTTATGTACCTTTAAAATTGGCACAAACTGAGAACTGCATGTTATTTAAATCACATTTAGATATTAATAGTCAATAATTTCTGCATTTCAAATATTTCACATCTATGGCTTTCTTCTATACTCCTTCCCACACTCAGTACTTTCTTTAGTTTTTATGCCATGGGAATGTGATTTTGTGATTGATATAGATAGTTTATCTGTAGGATACAATAGTAGATATCATGCTTTGAATCACTGGTACAAAGTGAAATAAAAAGATTCTATCGAATTGTGTATATTTTCACCTTAACTCTTTATTTTTTAAACACTTTTCCAAGTTCTTGATTAAAGCCCCAGCTGCCAGATTTGACAGTACAAATCTCCAGAGCTCTGTTAGCACATTACAGCTCAAAGATAGGGAGAAGTAAGTCCAAGTGTACATAAACACATGACCATTGTCAATATTAACTCTGTTTGCAAATACAAACAATCCATCTTTTGAATTGGCTGTTGACAATGGATGCAAGTTAGTAAACAATTTCCAGTGACAGTTTTCATTATACCTCAACTTCTTTTCTTTTTTACAAGGGGAAATAATCAAGATACCCTAAATATGCCTTACAAGGAGGGCTCACCATGTGAAGACTGTCCAAATGACTGTGAAGATGGACTGTGCAGTGAGTTGCCTTTGTTGTTTAATTTAGATGCCTGAAGTTGGCATATTTATATGGGAAACATACATCCTTTAAGTGAAGCATTAACCCACAGTCTATATTTCTATGATTTTCATCTTAATATCACACCATGGTATAGCTATATTATTTCTGCTTCTGTTCCCCTCACATCCAAAGTAATCAAACCTCTTTAACTACCACTGGAGGGCAGAATTAGAATATCTAGATACTAAAACCCAACTTCCCATCCAAAAGTATAAAATTATGAATTAGAGACAGTCTAGGTAAAATATTAATATAAAAGTGACTACTTTTCTCAGACAGTTCCTGAGATAACTTATTGCTGACCACAAACAATTTCTTTCAGGTTACCAGTCTCTGTGAATATTTTCTGTCCCATAATCCCCAACTTGCCTGAACATATATCAGTGTGGGATTTTTTTATTCTTACTTTTATTTTTTTTTACAGCCCAGTCATTGCCCTGTTCCAGGCTCCCCTCGCACAGTTCCTCATCCACTTTCTCCTTGCCCATGTCCCTCCCCTTGCCAGGCCTCCCTACCCTCTGGGACCTCAAGTCTCAGATCTACACCCACTGAGGCCAGACCAGTCAGTTCTCTGCTGTATACTGAGGCCTCTGACCAGCTCATGTATGCTGCCTGGTTTGGTTCAGTGTCTGAAAGATCCCAAAGATCTGAGTTAGTTGAGACTGCTGGTTTTTCTATGTGGTCACCCTTCTTCTCTACTTCTTCTAGCCTTTTCCTAACTCAACCACAGTGGTCCCTGACTTCAGTCCAATGACTGGGTATAAGTATCAACCTCTGTCTCAGTCAACTGCTTGTTGGGCCTCTCAGGGAAATGTCATGCTAGGCTCCTGTCTGTAAGTACACTATAGTATCAGTAATAATGTCAGGCCTCAGAGCCTCCTCTTGAGATGGATGCAAAGTTGGGCTAGTCACTGGCTTTCCTTTTTCTCAGTCACTTCTCTGCTTTTGTCCCTGAAGCTCTTTTAGGAACAATTCTGGGTCAGAAATTTTGACTATGGGTTAGTAATCCTATTTCTCCTCTTGATGCCCTGTCTTTGTACTAGAGGTGAACTCTACAAGTTCCCTCTCCCCACTATTGTGCACTTCACCTAAAGTCCCTCCCTTTGAGTCCTGAGAGTCTCTTATCACCCAAGTCTCTGGTAGTTTCTAGTGGGTCATTCCACCTCTCACCCGCCCAACAAGTTGCATAGGTTGCATATTTCCATTAATTCTGCTGGTCTTCTCTGCTGCTTCCCTCATCCGATCATGTTCCTCTTTTCCCTCCTCCTCTCCTCTCCCACCCATGTCTCTCCCTTCTTCTGTCTCTTGTGATTGTTTTCTTCTCCTCCTCCCACCCCAAAACAAGGGAGATTAAAGCATCCTCACTTCAGCCCTTTTGCTTCTTAACCTTTGAGAGTTCTGTGGATTCTATCCTAGTGAGTACATATCATATATATCCTTTTGGGTCTGAATTACCTCACTTAGAATGAACTTTTCAAGTTCCATCATTTTGCCTGAAAAGCTAATTATGTCCTTGTTCCTTTTTTAAAAAAAATAATTTTTATTGGATATTTTCATTATTTACATTTCAAATGTTATCCCCTTTCCTGGCTTCCCCCCAAGAATCACCCTATCCAATACCCTCTCTCCTTGTTTCTATGAGGATGTTCCCCCACGGACTCTTGCCACCCCGCCCTAGCATTCCCCTACACTGCGGCATCAAGTCTTTACAGGACCGAGGGCCTCTACTCCACTTGATTCCCAACAAGGCCAACCACTGCTACATATGTGGCTGTAGCCATGGGTCTCTCCATGTGTACTTGTTTCTTGGTGGGTTAGTCCCTGGAAGCTCTGGAGGTCTGGTTGGTTGATATTGTTGTTCTTCCTATGGAGTTGCAAACCCCTTCAGCTCCTTAAGTCCTTTCTCTACCTCCTCTATTGTGGACCCTGTGCTCAGTCCAATGGTTGGCCATGAGCATCCACCTCTGTATTTGTCAGGCTCTGGCAGAGCCTCTCAAGAGACAACTGCATCAGATTCCTGCCAGCATGCACTTCTTGGCATCAACAATAGTGTCTGGGTTTGGTGACTGTATACTGGATGGATCCCCAGGTGGGGGAATCTTTATTGCCTTCCCTTCATTATCTTCTCCGCACTTTCTCTCCATATTTGCTTCCATGTGTATTTTGTTGCCCTTTCTAAGAAGGATTGAAGGTCTTCCTTCTTCTTGAGCTTCATATGGTCTGTGAATTGCATCTTGAGTATTCTGAGCTTTTGGGCTAATATCTACTTATCAGTGAGTGCATATCATGTGTGTTCTTTTGGGATTGATTTACCTCACTCAGGATGATATTTTCTAGTTCCATCCATTTGCCTAAGAATTTCATGAAGTCATTGCTTTTAATAGTTATGTAGTACTCTATTGTGCAAATGTACCACATTTTCTGTATCCATTCCTCTATTGAAGGACAAATGATTTCTTTCTAGATTCTGGCTATTATAAACATGGCTACTGTGAACATAGTGGAGCATGTATCCTTGCTATGTGTTGGTGAATCTTTTGGGTATATGCCCAGGAATGGTATAGATGGCTCTTCAGGTATTACTGGGTCTAATTCTCTGAAGAACTGCCAAACTGATTTCCAGGGTAGTTGTACCAGTTTACAATCCCACCAGCATTGGAGGAGTGTTCTTTCTCCACATCCTTGCCAACATCTGCTGTCACCTGAGTTTTTGATCTTAGCCATTCTGATTGGTGTGAGGTGGAATCTCAGGGTTGTTTTGATTTGGATTCAGACCTAATAAGTTCACCTTAATCAAATTAATCCTTTATTATATAGAATATTTCTCTTGACCTCCTAGGAAGATGATGTTTTTCCCCAATGGTCACAACTGCTTGAAGGACAAAGTTGCATATGATTTTTTTGTTTGTGTTTCAGCTAACCCCTGCCTTTATTATGATGAATATAACAACTGTGATAAGCAGGTAAAACTTTACGGATGCTCACATCCAGCTGTCCAGCCATTCTGCAAGGCTTCTTGTCTGTGTACAACTGAAATAAAATAACCTAGTGTTTGTTACTGTGCTGTGATTATGAAGGGTGTTTTCAGTACCATTTATTTCACCTAAATGTTATGTACTGTAAGACCCTCTACTGAATTTCATTTGTTATTTTTAAATTATGGCTAGAAACTAACTTTTAACCATCCTTTGTAGACATCGACATATTTTCATCAAGACTGTGCCCCCTGTCATGTAGTAACATGGCTTTAAACTTCTTTGTTTGATGAAAGGGTAAATCAAATACTTTCCCCAAGTTTAATGCATGTGATTTGTGGTGTGTAGGTCGATGTAATCCAACTAATGAATGGAGTAAAACAGCTTGTACCAAACCCCCTTTCCTAACATCCCCATTTCCCAACAACCCTGGTATTTTTTTTTTGTTTAACTTTCAATTTCCATTCTACTATTCAATTAAAGTCAAGCACTAAAAATATTCACCAAATGAACAAGAATCGAGTCTCAACTTGAAGTATAAATATGACTCAAGAGTGGTCTAAATGTTTTCCCATTTGTATCTCTTTTGCATGAATGTTTGCGACCTGGGGGAATGAGAACCAGGCTATCTTTGGGTTCCTTGTCCCTTCACATCTACTTCTCCAGTGTCCTCCTACACTCTCCCCTCGCCCTGAGTACCTGATTCCCAGATTATTGTGTTTCTAACACCATACTAAAGAACAAAACACCAGGCTACCAAATTATTTGAAAAAACTAATCCTTTATATTGACCACATTATATTACTTCACTAGAAAAACTGTGTCCTATAAATTGTTCTGTATACAGTTCCAATCAAAGAAAACTGAAAGTGGAACATAATAAATGATGACATTGTGATATGTTCTTCATATACTGGTTTATTTAGGAGCCGTGAACCTTGCCAGTTCAAATGTAATATAAAGATCTGCAAGTCTGAATATCAAAGGAACATTGAAAGGAATACAGAAATGTACAAAGTCTTATATTAGGAATTTTTAGTTGTGCTGTTTTTTTTTCTCAAAAATACCCTCACCCTTTCTTTCTGAAAGTGGTTCTAGTGCAAAGTTCCTCAAATTTCTGTTTTTATTTTCTCTCATGCACAGAGTAAGCAGAAGTGCATACAAGTCATGATTATCTTTGAAGATGGGTTTTACGTAATCCAAATGTGATTTAATGAGATATATTTCCATAAATATGAGGCAAACAGTAGGGCACTTTTCTACATCCTTCCAGAACCACAGCTCACGAAACGCTTTTGTATACTCAGAAGTACACTTACATTATAAGATGGCAAAGGCTAGGAGTGCCTTAGGAGAAGATTACTATCCTCAGATTCCAGCATCCAACATGTGTGAATTGATGGGTATGTGTAAGGACATTAATGAGTACCAAGAAAAATATAAAGCAGTATGAAATAGAGTGGCATGTAGAATAAATGCACAAGTAGGTTTGTTACATCAAAGTAAAGAGAATGGAAGCAAAATATAAAAAGATATAGAAGACAGACATCTTGGGAAAAAATATACAAAAATATCCTGTGTCTCATCCCTGATTTATCTCATTATCAACAGCTAATAGCACACTGTCCTCACACTCTATGTGAAGAGAAGAAACAAAGGGGCTTGTTCAAACGTCTGAATACTGATTTGCTGTGATGTTAGTTAATTCCACAGTTTTACTGTTTTTCTCGACATAGAAGGGCACTCCTGCATCACGGCAATAGGACCATATCTAATATATAATTATGAGTTCATTGATTAAACACTGGTATTAGTAAAGAGGATATAACACAACTCCAACGTTTAAGTGAGCCTTTAGTGTTTGAGTACTTTTACAAGAAAGTAGAGGAGAATTCAGTTTGAAAGTTTACTACTGTGAAGCCAGGAGCTGCATAGAGGGAGCAGTTTGTCAGCATTTCTTGAACAAAAGTTCAGAAATCCAGACCATTTAAAACACAGCAATTTCTAGGAAAGTTAATCCAGTAGACCACTAGATGGCAGACTATCCACACTGTTTAGTACTCTTTCCAAAAGGCCCCATACTGGGGGAACAGGATCACTTCTAGACTTCATTTATTTTGCGCGTTATCTGATGGAGGTTTGGGTCGTTTATTTATCTAACTACCACTGGGTTATGAAAAAAGCTTCCTTATTATCTTATAAGAGTTTGCAAATATCAGAGTTACTTTAAACAGGTAAAAATGAATTTATGTAAAAAGAAAGTCAAAATACATCAAGCAGTTTCTGTAGTCTTAAAAAAAAAAGCAGGGTAATGTATGAATTAGGCATGGAGGTAACTTAGATTCTAAAGTTAGTTTCATTTGCGTTCAGAGTATGGTATCTCGCTTTTGAAATCCATTCATCCATTTAGATGCATTGAGGTAATGCACCAGCAGAGGGCTCTGTCGCATTTCTTTTAACAAAGCAGGACCCTGAACTTTGTTCCCAGGATTAATTTACTTTTCATTTCTTCTTAGCCCTTTATAGGCAAGACTATCTTAGATGTTTCTCCATCTGAGACACATGTTGAGCTACTGACTCGCTACTTGTGGTTTTGAAAGAGTAACAGAAACCTGTGCCTGCCTGCACTTGAAGTTTCTCATTCAGCGTAAAATCCTACTAGTTAAGTCCCAACAATCATGCTAAGCTTGTTTTTTTTTTTTCCAGATGTTTTTGAAGCTTCTCTGATACATGCTTACATGGAATGTACTGGCCAGTGTTGCCTTAGCAGCCCTCATACTGTACCTAAATTTCAAATACAGTCCTGAAGTGAACTAGGTCACTATTTCCCAGAGATTCCCTGACCCCTTTCTTCTCAAAACATCACTGGTACTTGCCTGTTATTGTATTAGTTTTGTATGTGCACGTGCACGCACACGTGTGTGTGTGTGTTTATCTGCACTAGGAAATCCCTGCAACCAGCACAGTTAGCAATTTGCTGAAATTGCTATTGGAAAAGCAATTTGCGTGAAATTAAGACTGTATTGGTACTGGGTTAAAACTTCTGGAGCCAGAACAGTTTATATTTCTCAAACATTTAAACAAAATAAAACTTTAGAAAAATGTTTTACATGACAACTATCACAAAAAAGCATTAGACATGGGTATGTAGTTATTCCCTTGCAAATTACATCTTCTTAATGAAGCACCTGTAACCTTTATTGTAAGAGTAGGTTATTGTAGACAGAGTAAGTGTTCAGGAGGAGGGCTTAAGAAGAAAGAATTTTTAATAAGCATACTTATGGGTGCTATTAATTCAGAATGCAAAGTACAAAGGTCTTTTCATGAGGGTGGCTTCTATTCACTGAAGGAAGGCTCAAGACAAGGGCTTAAACAATGCTCAGGATTTGATGGAATTTAGGTTAAAGGCTACCTCCCCTGGATAGCAAAATGTCCCCAGGTTTTTAGATAAATGAACAAGTCATTCTCTCTTTGTGAAGAAAAAGCCTGCCTGGTTAACAGTTGTGACTAGTTTATTGCTTTCTGTAAGCTGTTCCCTCTACATGTGTTTAGAAGGGTGTGGATGAAGTATGGTGGGAATGAGTGTAGGCATTGTCTATACACATATACCTCACAACCATAATGATTTCTTAATATTTAAACGAAGTATAGACAGTTCTCTTCTTGGAATCTCTTTATGCTTTTCATTCGAAACATAATTATTTCTCTGTGTACATAGTGAATTCCTGCAAGTAGTGTTTTAGTTTTTCTTTCAACTCATGTAATAAGAAATTCATCTCTATTCCTGTGTTCTCCCAGATCCAATCCCTGACTCTTATCACCAGCTCTGCAACAAAAACAAACCAATTTTAAGAAATATTTATTTATAAATCCAGCTCAGCAGAGGGTGCTAGAAGAAAAAAATAAACCTTGAAGGTTAGCTACAAGCATGAAAATATAGGGAATAAATAATATCAGACCATCAAAACCAAAGAAAGGGAAACACACACATACAAACACAAACCATCATCACCAACAACACCACCATCACTATGAACAATAACAAAATAACAGGAATTCACAATAATTGGATATTGATATCTGTCAACATGAATGGTTTTAAGTCCCCATGAAAAAGACACAGACAAACAGAACAGATGAGAAAACAGGACCCATCCAGCTGCTACCTACAAAAAACATACCTTAACATTAGAGATTATCACAGGATGGAGGGTTGTACAAGGATATTTTATGTAAATGAACTTAAAAAACAAGATACAAGCTGTTGTAGCCATTCTAATATCTAACAAAATACACTTAAAAATCAAAACAAATCAGGATAGGGAAGTACACTATATTCTCATCAGAGAAAAAATTCAACAAGATGACATTTTAATAGGACATTCATGTTCGTTAAAGAAACACTACTATATCTTAAATTGCATATTGACTGTCTCATAGTGATAGTGGGAAACTTCAGTATTACACTATCACCAATAGACAGGTCATCTAGATAAAAACTAAAGAGAGAAATGCTGAAGCTAAAAGATGTTATATACCAAATAGATCTAAGAGATATTTATAGAACGTTCATCAAAATACCAAAGAATATACCTTATTCTCTGCATCTTATAGAACTTTCTCTAAAATTGATGACAAACTTGGACATAAACATAGCAGGAACAAGGAAACTGAATTAACTCCATGCATTTTATCAGACAACCACAGATTAAACATGGATTTTTAACAGCAAAAACAAAAGAAAGCTTACAAACTTATAGAGACTGAACAACTCTCTGTTGAATAAAAAAATGGTCAATATAGAAATAAAAATTAAAGATTTTCTAGAATTCCATAAAAATACATACACATCATACCTAAACTTCTGAAGTATGAAATGGAAGTGGTGCTAACAGAATAGTTCATAGCAGTTAAGTGCACATACACACATATAAGAAAGTTCATATTAACCACATATTAACACAGCTGAAACTTCTGGAACACAAAATAGTCAGAGCCAAAAGGAGTAGATGACAAAAAAGAATCAAACTAAGGTTTGAAATCAATAAATTAGAAACAAAGAGAACAAAACAAAGAATCAATGAAACAAAAATATTTCTTTGAGAAAATCCATAAGACCAATAAACACTTTTCAAAATTAAGGGGGAGGGAGAGAGAGACTATCCAAACTGACAAAATAAGAAATTAAATACTGGATATAACAGATATCAAGGAAATCTAATAACTCATATAGATGTATATGGAGGTGTAAACCTTTAATTCCAGCACTCTAGAGGCAGAGGCAGGCAGATCCATGAGATCCAGGCCAGTCTGTTCTACAGAGCTAGTTCTAAGACCCCCAAGGCTTTATAAAGAAGCCCTGTCTCCACTATTTATTCTCCCACCCAATAAATCTGTATTCTATCAAATTGAAAAATCTAAAAGATTATCAAAAAAGATAAATCAATATCAGATAAGTAATTTAAACATGCCTAGAATCCCTAGTTACATAGAAATAGTAATT